GATCAGATTATTAAAACAATAAAAATACCATTTATCTCAGGAGTAACTGATAAATTAGCCCGTGTTTTGCAAAAGCAAAACATTACAGTAAGATTTGGTACAGTACACAAAATTCAACAACTAGTAACGTGCACTAAAGACGAATTACCTAAATTATCAACAGAAGGTGTATATCGGATTAATTGTGTATGTGGCAGATGCTATATTGGACAGGCAGGGCGTAACGTTAGTGTAAGACTTAAAGAACACCAGAGAAATATTAAACTATCACAAACACAACTGTCGGCAGTAGCAGAACATGCATGCCAACAGGGACACTCAATTGATTTTGACAACGTGGAAGTGTTGTGTAAAACTAGTTACTACTGGCAAAGACTAATTAGAGAATCGATTGAAATTGAGAGAAACAGAAATAACTTTAATCGCTCAGACAGCTACAGGCTTAGTGCGGCCTGGAAGCGTATTATTAAATAAGATACATTACAATTACTTATAAGGGAAACAACCACTAACAGATTACTAATGTAGCATAATCACAATAAAACACATTCCAAATGATTACTAATCTACAACTCGCATCGTAACAATAGCCTGATTACTAATCTAGTATATAATTACAATCACTCCCCCCTTGAATCTTTGCACCTGATGAGTTAATGAGTTATTGATGACGTCATCCTGCTGCTGCTCTATATAAGAACGGGAGACACAGGAGAGCCTCACCATTCTGGCGAATTGCCCGATGATGCTGGTTGTAATTACCAGCGAAACGTCGTACTCAAATTGTGAATGTTGTTGCTTCAACACACCGGTGGGCTAAAGCAGTGAACTATTTGTCTTTGTCAACGTGACACATTTTTTACTGATTGGCCGTGTCGGGTGGTGGAGGGTTACGACACATTTATAAATAAACGCGATCTAAACCCAAAAATCGTTGATTATGAATAACATTGGTCGCGAAAGCCTACGTGTTAAACTGAGTGAGTGGAGTTTGTGTGATCTCCCCCTGTTCTACAGAGTGAGTGAGTGGAGTTTGTGTGATCTCCCCCTGTTCTACAGAGGGAGTGAGTGGAGTTTGTATGATCTCCCCCTATTCTACAGAGTGAGTGGAGTTTGTATGATCTCCCCCTGTTCTACAGAGTGAGTGGAGTTTGTGTGATCTACCTCTGTTCTACAGAGTGAGTGAGTGTAGTTTGTATGATCTACCCCTGTTCTACAGAGTGAGTGAGTGGAGTTTGTATGATCTCCCCCTGTTCTACAGAGTGAGTGAGTGGAGTTTGTGTGATCTTCCCCTGTTCTACAGAGTGAGTGAGTGGAGTTTGTGTGATCTCCCCCTGTCCTACAGAGTGAGTGAGTGTAGTTTGTATGATCTCCCCCTGTTCTACAGAGTGAGTGAGTGGAGTTTGTATGATCTCCCCCTGTTCTACAGAGTGAGTGTAGTTTGTATGATCTACCCCTGTTCTACAGAGTGAGTGAGTGGAGTTTGTATGATCTCCCCCTGTGAGCCGAAGACACACACACAGGCAAAAAGAGTCACAGACATACACAGAAACCCACAGACACCCACACACACAGAGAGACACACACACAGAGAGAGAGAGACAGACACACAGAGACACACACACACACAGACACACACAGAGAGACGCACACAGAGACACACACACACACAGAGAGACACACACACACAGAGACATGATCTCCGGAGGAGCTCACCGATGGGACTTTGCCCAGATCTTTCAAGGATTTGTGAGCTCCTCACACAATCCAGCCTGCTGGTTAAACCCAGGATGGATCGTAGGCAGGCCAGCCTAAATGTTTCCAACCGGAGAGACACACACACAGAGACACACAGACACAAAGACACACACACAGAGAGAGAGGCACACACAGAGACACACACAGATACACACAGAGACACACATACACAGAGACACACACAGACACACACAGAGACACACACACACAGAGACACACACAGAGACACACACACACAGAAACACACACACACAAAGACACACACAGATACACACAGAGACACACAGAGAGAGACACACACACAGAGACACAGAGACACACACATACACAGAGAGACACACACACATACACAGAGAGACACACACACAGAGAGACACACACAGAAACACACACAGAGACGTAGGCATATGCACAATCTCGTGACACTCACTCTCCCTCAAGGGCACGACCTCAAGCGCGACCCAGGGTGAGGACAGCGGTGGTGAGGACGAGACGGAGAATCTCACGCGGAGGAGATAGCGGCCACCGGCATCGTCCAGCGCGGAAGAGACGTCGCAGCACGTGTCTTTGGTGGCAGCACAGACGGTCTGCCAGAGGGCACGTCTGAAGCTGCGCAGACAGAGACACAGGGAGCAGTGGTGAGGGTGGTGAGGAGAGAGTGGGTGGGTTGGTGAGTGAGTGGGTTGGTGGGTGAGTGGGTTGGTGGGTGAGTGAGTGGGTTGGTGAGTGAGTGAATTAATGAGTGAGTGGCTGAGTGAGTGGCTGAGTGAGTGAGTGGCTGAGTGAGTGAGTGGGTTGGTAGGTGAGTGGGTTGGTGGGTGAGTGAGTGGCTGAGTGAGTGAGTGGGTTGGTGAGTGAGTGGGTTGGTGAGTGTGGTGAGTGGGTTAGTGGGTGGGTGAGTGGGTTGGTGAGTAAGTGGGTCGGTGAGTGAGTGGGTGAGTGAGTGGGTGAGTGGGTGAGTGGGTTGGTGGGTGAGTGAGTTCGTTAGTGGGTTGGTGAGTGAGTGAATTAATGGGTGAGGGCCTGAGTGAGTGGCTGAGTGAGTGAGTGGCTGAGTGAGTGGGTTGGCGGGTGAGTGAGTGGGTTGGTTGGTGAGTGGGTTGGTGAGCGAGTGGGTTGGTGAGTGAGTGACTTAATGGGTGAGTGGCTGAGTGAGTGAGTGAGCATCTCACAGTTTGCTCTGAACTCTGTAGGTAACATTCAGGAACGTTGAGTTGGTGGTGGTGGAGTTGATGCTTGAAGGGTCAACAGGTGGGGGTCTCTCTCCTCCACCCCCCACAGGAGCCACTTCAACGGGGTCCCAGCAAAGCGTCGCCAGGAGGTCTTGAGACTCCAAACGCACATTCAGTAGATACGGCGCAACTGGGCAGATGGGAAAACAACACTCACACACAGTGCGCTAACCACTGCACCACCACTCCCCACACACTCACAGTGCGCTAACCACTGCACCACCACTCCCCACACACACAGCGCGCTAACCACTGCACCACCACTCCCCACACACACACAGTGCGCTAACCACTGCACCACCACTCCCCACACACACACAGTGCACTAACCACTGCACCACCACTCCCCACACACTCACACACAGTGCGCTAACCACTGCACCACCACTCCACACACACACATAGTGTGCTAACCACTGCACCACCACTCCCCACACACACACACAGTGCGCTAACCACTGCACCACCACTCCCCACACACACACACAGTGCGCTAACCACTGCACCACCACTCCCCACACACACACACAGTGCGCTAACCACTGCCCAACCACTCACACAGTGCGCTAACCACTGCACCACCACTCCACACACACACAGTGCGCTAACCACTGCACCACCACTCCCCACTCACTCACACACAGTGCGCTAACCACTGCACCACCACTCCCCCCACACACACAGTGCGCTAACCACTGCACCACCACTCCCCCCACACACACAGTGCGCTAACCACTGCACCACCACTCCACACACACACACAGTGCGCTAACCACTGCACCACCACTCCCCACACACACACAGTGCGCTAACCACTGCACCACCACTCCCCACTCACAGTGCGCTAACCACTGCACCACCACTCCCCACACACACACAGTGCGCTAACCACTGCACCACCACTCACCACACAGTGCGCTAACCACTGCACCACCACTCCCCACACACACACACAGTGCGCTAACCACTGCACCACCACTCACACACACAGTGCGCTAACCACTGCACCACCACTCCCCCCACACACACAGTGCGCTAACCACTGCACCACCACTCACCCCACACACACACAGTGCGCTAACCACTGCACCACCACTCCCCACACACACACAGTGCGCTAACCACTGCACCACCACTCCCCCCACACACACAGTGCGCTAACCACTGCACCACCACTCCCCACTCACAGTGCGCTAACCACTGCACCACCACTCCCCACACACACACAGTGCGCTAACCACTGCACCACCACCACACACACACACACAGTGCGCTAACCACTGCACCACCACTCCCCACACACAGTGCGCTAACCACTGCACCACCACTCCCCACACACACACAGTGCGCTAACCACTGCACCACCACTCCCCACTCACAGTGCGCTAACCACTGCACCACCACTCCCCACACACACACAGTGCGCTAACCACTGCACCACCACTCCCCACACACACACAGTGCGCTAACCACTGCACCACCACTCCCCACACACACACAGTGCGCTAACCACTGCACCACCACTCACCGTGGCTGCACGTGGCGAGGTGGAGGAAGAGGAGGAGGAGGTCACGTGTGCAGAGTTTCGACATCGCCATTAACACCACGTGACCTCTGACCCTAAGTCACGTGCAGAGAAAATCGATACGCGCGTCTCATTGGTCCTCCTCCGTGGAGGCCACGCCCCCTCGAGAATTTTCCGCTCTCCCGATTGGTCCGCCGTGGGGGTGACGTCACCACACAACAAAATCCCCCCCCTACCCCTCCATTGCCACGTAAGCCAATCGGCGAACGCCCCACTGGGTGATGACGTCACGCACGCGCATCCTGTAGCCAATGAGCGCGTCCGCGTAGGGACGGATGACGTCATGTGACTCGAGAGGGGGAGGGGCTACACAAGTCGAGGCCGAGACGCTGTAGCAGCTGCTGCTGTAGCTACAGCTGTTGCTGCTGCTGCTGCTGCTGTTGCTGCTGCTGCTGTTGCTGCTGCTGCTGCTGTTGCTGCTGCTGCTGCTGCTGTTGCTGCTGCTGCTGCTGCTGCTGCTACTACAGCTGCTGCTGCGTTGCCTGCCGACAGCAGCGACCTGTTGTGAGCATTGCGAGCCCCGCTGCCGTGAAGTTGCGGGGAAAGTATCTGAAGGTGAGTGGGTGGTCCTCCCCTACCTCCCTCCACCACCAGCACTCTTGTTTTAAAGGAATAATTGCATCTGCGACGATTGGAGCGGTGAGGGTGAGTGGTGAGGGGTGAGGGTGAGTGGTGAGCGGTTGTTGTGAGGGTGGGTGGTGAGTGGTGAGGGTTAGTGGTGAGTGGTGAGCGGTTGTTGTGAGGGTGAGTTGTGAGGGTGAGTGGTTAGTGGTGAGGGTGAGTGGTGAGTGGTGAGCGTGATTGGTGAGGGTGAGTGGTAAAGGTTAGTGGTGAGAGAGTGGTTAGTAGTGAGGGTGAGTGGTGAGGGTGAGTGGTGAGGGTGAGTGGTGAGGGTTAGTGGTGAGAGAGTGGTTAGTGGTGAGTGGTGAGAGAGTGCTGAGTGGTGAGGGTGAGTGCTGAGTGGTGAGTGCTGAGTGGTGAGTGGTGAGAGAGTGGTTAGTGGTGAGGGTGATTGGTGAGGGTGATTGGTGAGGGTGATTGGTGAGGGTGATTGGTGAGGGTGAGTGGTGAGGGTGAGTGGTGAGAGAGTGCTGAGTGGTGAGGGTGAGTGGTGAGGGTGAGTTGTAAGTTCCAAGATTAGTAAACAAAAAATCTGGACAAATAAAAGTTAATGCGCAGGAATATAATGATGATGATAATAAACCCGTGCTTGTTAAAGTTAAATGCGCTAACTAAGATATTTAATAATCTCTCGTTGAAATAATCCCGCCAAATTGAGTCGTTGATGAGGTCAGCTGTTAATTAGTAGCGGGCCAATTAAGACGTCGTTAATTAGGTCAGCTGTTAATGACCCTGAGGTGTTGACCTGAGGCCAATTAATTAAGCAACGTGCTCATTCAATTACAAATTGCGTGTGTGACGTGAGTTGACTCGGGTTTTATTTGAATTTTTTTTAAATGCAATTGTGTTTAATTTAAGGACAATGCACATTATCAGAGTTGTGTTTTTTGTTTGTATTATGACCGCAGGTATTGTGGTCTATGCAAAGATGACTCCTTGTAAAAAGGTGTCAGTTTTGTTGCCAGATAGAAGGGTAAAAAAACAATTATCAAGACAATCCTAGATTGAATTGGAATGTTAAAGACCTCTTAATATCTCGATTTAAAGCTTTCGTGACTGCATGGATTCATCTTCTTGGTTCTTTCGGTAAAGTCATCACGTAGAAGGGAAGTAATAAAATAAAACATAATAAAATAATATAATATTTTATTTTTATTATTTTATTACTTCCCTTCTACGTGACTTTACCGAAAGAACCAAGAAGATGAACCTCTTAGTATCGTTGGAGATTGTCTTTAATTTAGCTAAGAGTGAGTGGCCACGATGATTCATAGATGTTTGCCTTTTGCTCATTTAATTAAGGGTAAAGTAATCTGCGATTGCTTTTTAAACATAAATGTTGCACCCTCGTTATAATTGGTGTGAGAGTGAGCAGATTGGAGATACAAAAAATTAACCCGTAAAAACAAAGTTTTTCACTATAAATCCTTTATATGCGTGGCATCGCTTTTATTTTATTATTCATTTCTGTTTTTCTTGAGTAAGAGTTTCATTTTTATCACATTGCTATTTTAAATTAAATATAAGGAAAGGTTTTCAGTTTTTGTATGATTGTTTATATTGTACATTTTTGTTGTTTTCTTGAATAATTTTCTGTTTAGGAAAAATATACGATTGTGTTAGTGAAAATTATTTTTTCCCTAAACAGTGTAAAATTTTGCAAAAATTTTTTACGAAAATAAATTGTCACGTACAACGAGTCTGTGTGCAAAATGTCAGCTCGATTGGATGACGGGAAGTGGGTTGAAAAACGACCGAAAGATTTGCACGGTCGTAAGCAAGCAAGCAAGTGAACTTAATATAAAGGATTTAAAAACTAAATACACGTGCGGTTTTATAAATTAATTAACAAGACAAGTATTCACTGGATAGCCGATTAATTAATTGTATGTTTGTGATAGGTTAATTAGGCTCGCCACACCGGAAGCTAATTAACTTTGGAACTTCCATTTAATCCCAAAGCTAATTTTCCAGCTGGGCTGTGCGAACGGCCCTTAACCTGCTCTGAAGGTTTCAGGTTCTTGTGCACTCATTTGCGTGGGAAAAAATGTAACATTAAATGTGATCACAGTATTTGGTTTCTCTTACGGGCTCGTTTATTTATCCGTTTACAACTCTGTCGGCCAACTGTTGGGCAAAGTCTTGGGGTCTCGCACAGTTTCCCCCAAGGGAGTTTTTTTAAATAAATATTGTTTTAGAATAACGTTATTCTGTAATCTTTATATTTTGCGAAAGTATCGTACAGGTTACCAAATCGCTGTTTCGCCCGATTAACTACCCTTGTAATCAACGACTTGTTTTGGAAAATGTAATCGGATCGCTAATGGCTCTGATGATGACACTTGCTGTGAGAGTTGTATTTTTAAATCCTTTATATTAAGTTCACTTGCTTGCTTGCTTAGGACCGTGCAAATCTTCGGTCGTTTTTTAACCCAGTTCCCGTGATCCAATCGAGCTGACATTTTGCACACAGAATCGTTGTGCGAGACAATTAATTTTCGTGAAAATTTTTTTCCAAAATTTTGCACTTTTTAGGAAATTTTTTTTTTCATATTTAATTTAAAATACCAATGTGATAAAAATGAAACTCTTACTCAAGAAAAACAGAAATGAATAATAAAATAAAACCGATGCCACGCATATAAAGGATTTATAGTGAAAAACTTTGTTTTTACGGGTTAATTTTTTTCAAATTTTCTTGCTGTGGATTTCACACCTGATGATGATTGCTTGTGTTGCAGGCGAAACGCCGTGAGAATTTTAATCGGATCGCCAATGGCTCTGATGATGACAGTTGCTGTGAGAGTTGTATTTGCCTAGCTACAATGCAACTGGTCATTCTAGTGAATGGGCGGCACAGATGCTAATGCAACAGCAATGCCATTTCGAGGGTGTGGAATTTATCCTGTTATGTACGAAACTTGAGAACCCTAGCTACATACAATGTCTGCTGCCAGTTTTATAGGGCTGAACATTGAAAATGTCTAAGTGTACAATGATTGCGATTACCATGTCTCTATAGTCGTGGTTGAAGAGACATTGTAATGTTTTTAAACTATTTTATCTTTTCCTGTAATTTCTTGAAATTCTCTTTTGGCTGGTTAAGTAAAGACATGCCTTACAATGGCTGCCCATAAAAAAAATTGTTTTCATGCATTTGTTTTCTGAGCCATTTGTTTTAGTGGCCAGGTACTGGGCCGATTCTGCTGTGAGACCCGAGTGTGTGCTTCGCCGGGGAGAGATGTAAAAATGTAGGTGAAGAATGAAATAAAAATTAATTTAAATAAAATAATAAAAATCACGACGTTTCGGAAGCAACACAAGCTTCCGTCTTCAGGTGAAACTGTCACAGAAAAATATCTGTATCACCTGAAGACGGAAGCTTGTGTTGCTTCCGAAACGTTGTGATTTTTCTCTTCTTCTTGGTTCTTTCGGTAAAGTCGTCACGTAGAAGGGAAGTAATAAAATAATAAAAATAAAACATAATAAAATAATTCTCACGACGTTTCGGCCACAACGCAAGCAGCCGTCCTCAGGTGAAAACCAGGTCTGTCGGGGAGACAGCGTCTGAATGAAACAGCACACGAGCTTGGAGCATATATATAAGCTGGGTTGGAAGGGGGGGAAAGGGCGCTTCGACAAAAGAATTTGCATATCAAGAGGAATTTAGCATATTTATGGGAAATGCAGGAATGTGATTAGTACTACTCATGCCCGTGCATTATGCAGGATTAGCAGCATCAAAGGGAGGGCATGTGGGAAATGCAGGTATGTGATTAATACTAATTATGCCCGGGCATTATGCAGGATTTGTGATTTTTATTCTTTTATTTTAATTTCATTTTTTACCTACGTGACTTTACCGAGTATGAATCCTTGCAGTCGCGAAAGCTTCAAATCTCGAAGATATCAAAATGGACGAGCAGTGCATGCATCAGGACGATGAGGAGCTGCAACAGCAGCAGCAGCAGTCTCCAAACAATCGGAAGGCTCCTTCACGCACCACGCAGAATGCAGCTCAGTCTGTGCAGCAGTATCCTCCTGCCTTGGCAGAGGCAGCAACCCAGACGTGTCAGTCTCCACAGGCTCAGCCAGTTAAGCACACCCCACAAGTGCCTAAGGTGTCTTCTGGCAGCAGTCAGCGAGCGAGTGGAGAGGCGGCTTCTGATTCAAGCTCCCAAGGTGATCACTTTGACTGCCCCTTGTTCACACACGCATGCTGCTGTCTAGCTATTAAGACACATTTGAGGTTTTTGTAAATTATATAATTTCACTAATAGGGGTTTTCCCCTTTTTTGTGGCAACAAAACTGACACCTTTTGCAAGGAATCATGCTTACATTAACCACTATACTTGCAGTCAAATGCAAACAAAAAACACAACTCTGATAATGTATGCATTGTCTTTGAAACTGATTGGTCCACACCAGAGACAGCTTTCTTTAGAGCCTCGTCTCATATGGTGTTCGACCAGATGACGCCAAGTATTGTGGTTAATGTAAGCATGATTCCTTGCAAAAGGTGTCAGTTTTGTTGCCAGAAAAAAAAAAGGTGAAAAACCCTATTAGTCTATTTTGCTACTGGCAAAGGAGGTCCCATGATGACGTCATTTCAATGTATTATTCTGAAAGAAATTGTCCCTGCGTGTACTCGCCTTACCTGTCCGCTTTTTGCCACTTAACCAAATCCTCAGGCTGCGTGAAAGTGGTGCACGACATGCTGATGACTTCAAGCAACTGCGGCAGCAATTGGCCATCCGACCAAGAAGACATATTTCGCCTCCTGGTAAGTTACCTGCTTTCGTTTAAATTCCTCGCAATCACATGTCACAATAAGCATTTGATGTTTTAAAGAATTTGCTCTGCGGTCTGTATGTATGTAGGTGCATGGGAGAGAACATTTTGAAATATTAAAGAAAATCAAGGAAAACCTGGAGCTGATCCGAACGCTGCCCACGGATGCCAATGTGTTGCGCAACCTGCAGCAACAACAGTACGTGAACACGAAATAGACAATCGTTGCTCTTGCGAGAGAAGTTCCCGATTGCTGCTGTAATTAAATGGTAGCAACAGAAGGGAAGTAATAAAATGATAAAAATAATAAAATAATTCTCACGACGTTTCGGCCACAACGCAAGCAGCCGTCCTCAGGTGAAAACCAGGTCTGTCGGAAAGACAGCGTCTGAATGAAACAGCACACGTGCTTGGAGCATGTATATACGCTGGGTTGGAAGGGGGGGAAAGGGCGCCTTGACAAAATAATTTGCACATCAAGAGGGTTAATTTTTTGGGTTTTTTCTCCCTCCCAGATACGTGACGGAATTGCGTGGCAGGCCGTTCAACCTCAGCCGACACGGCAGCGAGTGTTCACAGGAAGTCTTGGCCGGCAGCCAGGGACCCTCCAGTGCCGGCGAAGGTTCCTCACCAGGTGACGCAAGCTCTCCCTGCTCGGCACAGCACATTTCTCTGCACGGAACGTGGCGGCATGCGGTAGAATTGAAAGACGTGACACAATTTGCCACAAAGTGATACGCAGTCTTCTTGGTTCTTTCGGTAAAGTCGCCACGTAGAAGGGAAGTAATAAAAGAATAAAAATAAAACACGATAAAATACAATTCTCACGACGTTTCGGCCACAACGCAAGCAGCCGTCCTCAGGTGAAGAACAGGTCTGTCAGACGCTGTCTTCCCGACAGCTCTGTTCTCCACCTGAGGACGGCTGCTTGCGTTGTGGCCGAAACGTCGTGAGAATTATTTTATGATGTTTTATTATTTTATTACTTCCCTTCTACGTGATGACTTTACCGAAAGAACCAAGAGGATGAATTCAATATTACTCGTATATGTGTTGAGGTGTAAATGTTTTTATTGCGAATGCTCATCCACTGGTTGCAGGCGTTGCACAGAATGTTGTGACGGGTGAAGCAAATGGATCCAATGGTCCCCCACGGCCACCGGACGGAGACAACCCACGGGCCCGGCTTGGAACCCTGCCGGACAGCGGCAAGCCTGGCAACGCTCTTTACAAGTAAGTGCCCTTTAGGTGCATCATCGTCGCCACCTTTAAACATCGTCGTCATTTTTCGATTTAAAGCTTTTGTGACTGCAGGGATTCATCTTCTTGGTTCTTTCGGTAAAGTCACCACGTAGAAGGGAAGTAATAGAATAATAAAAATAAAACATAATAAAATAATAAAAATAAAACATAATAAAATAATAAAATAATATAATAATGTTGCTTTCCTTCTACGTGACTTTACCGAAAGAACCAAGAAGATCGTCATCATTCACGCTCTGAAAAAAATTACAAATAAATGAAAGGGATTCTTTGCTGAAATAACCTTTTCTACTCTGAGACATCTCTTTTAGCAGTGGCAAAATATAGTAGTAGGTTTTTACCCTTTTAAACTGGTACAAAACTGACACCTTTATACAAGGCATCATACACCTTGAGACATTTCCTTTACCAGTGGCAAAATATAGTGATAGGTTTTTACCCTTTCAACTGGTACAACAACTGACACCTTTATACAAGGCATCATGTTTGCAATAACCACAACACAAGCAGTCAAAAATTCAAATAAAAAGAAGCAAAAAGTACTTTTTCGTGCTTCTTGTATTTGGTATTAACATTTTGGAGCCTTGTGTGTTGTTGTTTTTTTGTGTCTCAAGCTTCCTGAAACAAATAGACTGCTTGGAGTTTTTGGAGAATTTCACTTCGCGTGGATTGTCGAGTGTCCAACAGCTGATGGACGTCACTCTGCAGGCAAGTTCCTACGGACGCTTCCATGCAAACTACGCGTGTTTTTTTAACGAATACAGGATTGGGATTTATTTTTAAGTTTTTCTGCAACATAAAAAATGCACAAAGAAGCATGGAGAAGATGGAAGGTTGGAATTAAACTTGTAAAGAGTTAATGCGTTTGTAGTGCCTCAAGAGGGGGCTCTGGGACCCTAGGCAGAGAAGCCCTCGGCGGCAGGCGCTAGGATCCCAGGCACCCCAGACACTTAAGCCCCTTGGTGCCAGGCGCTCGGATCCCAGGCACCCCAGACACTTAAGCCCCTTGGCGGCAGGCGCTAGGATCCCAGGCACCCCAGACACTTAAGCCCCTTGGCGGCAGGCGCTCGGATCCCAGGCACCCCAGACACTTAAGCCCCTTGGCGCCAGGCGCTAGGATCCCAGGCACCCCAGACGCTTAAGCCCCTTGGCGCCAGGCGCTAGGATCCCAGGCACCCCAGACAGTTAAGCCCCTTGGCGCCAGGCGCTAGGATCCCAGGCACCCCAGACACTTAAGCCCCTTGGCGCCAGGCGCTCGGATCCCAGGCACCCCAGACACTTAAGCCCCTTGGCGGCAGGCGCTAGGATCCCAGGCACCCCAGACACTTAAGCCCCTTGGCGGCAGGCGCTAGGATCCCAGGCACCCCAGACACTTAAGCCCCTTGGCGCCAGGCGCTAGGATCCCAGGCACCCCAGACGCTTAAGCCCCTTGGCGCCAGGCGCTAGGATCCCAGGCACCCCAGACAGTTAAGCCCCTTGGCGCCAGGCGCTAGGATCCCAGGCACCCCAGACGCTTAAGCCCCTTGGCGCCAGGCGCTAGGATCCCAGGCACCCCAGACACTTAAGCCCCTTGGCGCCACCAACGGGGGGGCTGTGTGTGCTCTGTGGGATACCTGGGGGCACACACAACCCCACCCCTCGTTGGGCACGAGGCATAAAAGGGCAGCTCCCTGGATGATCGGGGCCAGTCGCAGGTCAAGACCCGCCAGCCAGCCAGCGTAGGACCCTGTACCCCCTCGTCCCGCTGTAACAGAGTATCAGGAGTGTTGGAGTGTTGTATTGTAATAAAGAAGTTACCTCTACAAGTGTCTCCGGAACCCATTACACGTGGATACCGAAACATGCAAATAAGAAACATTGACAACTGCAAAAAGTAGATGGGCTTGGGCAAGGGCACATCACTGGACTGCATTGGAGTGGCATCCAAAGTAGAGCACACATCACCAAGAGGATGACCACCACAGAGATTCGAGTTGTGAGAAGATTAGTTCGTGTGTCGTTGATAGATGGATCGTCACATAGCTCGAGTGAGGAGGCTGAGGAGTCCTGATCCAGTAGTGGGTACAAAACAAACACATTCCTCCTGCGGAGGGAGCGGGTAGGAACGTTGGGTTGCTCGGTCAATGGCCAACTGTGAGGGCGGGCACAAGCCGGCGTGAGTAGGTGAAACGTTGAGTTTTATAAGGGCACCACGGGGTGACCAGCCCCTCCCCACCCAGCCCCACCCCACCCTCCCCACCCAGCCCCTCCCCACCCAGCCCCTCCCCACCCAGTCCCACCCCTCCCATTTTTGGATGCACGACGGACAGACACAATAATCCCCTGTGGGCTGGTGGAACCAGGTGGTTCCTACCGGTAATACCGACTGATTTTGTACATTAATTACTCTGAGGAATACACGTCGTCAGAAATTTGAAGAATGTTGTATCGTACACTATGGGAACCTCATTTGCCAGTAAAAATATCATAATTGTTTTTTTACCCTTCTATCTGGCAACAAAACTGACACCTTTTTACAAGGAGTCATGTTTGTATAGACCACAATACTTGTCTCGGGTGTGGACCAATCAACTTCAGGGACAGTGCACATTATCAGAGTTATGTCTTTTGTTTGTATTGTATTATGACTGCAAGGTATTGTGGTCTATACAAACATGACTCCTTGTAAAAAGGTGTCAGTTTTGTTGCCAGATAGAAGGGTAAAAAACCAATTATCAATGTTGGATCGCTGAACAAAATTTGGTGTGTGTGCATATTTTCTGTGTTTCGCTGGATTCTAGGACTTGGATGAACTGGGAGTCCCAGAAGCCAAAAAGCGACTGCTATTGAGTGGAATCGAAGAGCATGGCGTGTCCACCACGATCTCCAGCGAGACGACACTGCAGCGCTCGTCCAGTGAAGAGACAGTCCACCTCAGCTCCGAGGACGACGACGATGACGGCATCGACACCAAGGACGGCATCCTTGCCAAAGTGTTCCCAGCGCTGCGGCCCTCTGGCAGGAATCTGTCCTCTGTCGGCAATCGGTATCGCAAAAGCAGCATTGCCAAATACAATTTGCGAGCGTACGCTCGCCAAGCCGTTGCCCTTCCTCGTGCTGGCAGCTGGGGAGGCAGTAGCAGCCTGGAGGTGCCCAGGAGCAAGATGCCAAAATTCTCTTCATGCTCTGACATCGAAGAAGAAGAGGGGCTGGAGTGAGGAGAGGAGGGGGGTAGCGATAGATGGATGATGGTGGGAGGTTGTGTGGGCCGTGGGATGCACTTTGTATGAAAAGCCCTTGGGGTAAATAAGCTGGTGTCTTTTGATTGAAAGCTTTCGTGACTGCAGGGATTCATCTTCTTGGTTCTTTCAGTAAAGTCACGGTCGACAGACCTGTTCTCCACCTGAGGACGGCTGCTTGCGTTGTGGCCGAAACGTCGTGAGAATTAATTTATAAAAAAAAAGTATTACTATTTCCTTGCTTGCTTGCTTAGGACCGTGCAAATCTTTCGGTCGTTTTTTAACCCACTTCCCGTCATCCAATCAAGCTGACATTTTGCACACAGACTCGTTGTGCGTGACAATTTATTTTCGTGAAAACATTTTGTTCCAAAATTTTACACTGTTTAGGGAATTTTTTATTTTATATTTAATTACCAATTGCTTAATGGTGGCAGGCAATCATCTGACCCATAGGTGGCAGCCATCTCAAGCCAGAGGACGAGAGGACTCTAGCCGCCACGCATATAAAGGATTTATAGTGAAAAACTTTGTTTTTACGGGTTAATTTTTTGTTACAGGTAGGAACAACAGTTCCCCACCGCCCACCAGGGATTATTTGTCTGTCGTGCATAGCCCCTCCCACCGCGTAGCACGCTCCCCGATTGGTTGAAGTGCGTCACGTGACCGCGAGCTTTCTGCCCAACCAAGTTCCTAGCTGGCCACTGTGAAGGAACGTGATTGTGCTGTGGATTCAGAAACCCGAGTTTGAGGGTGACATCCGAACTGCTGATTGTTTGGGCGCTGACCACTGGTGAAGTACCCGTCTGGTCACTGCCTGCATCTTGGAGTGGATTGAACAAGGGCTGTTGATATTATTGAGCTTTGATTAAAAGCCAAAAACCTTTAAAGTACAATTTGAGGAATTGTTTTTCTGGATAAACCACTCGGAAAAAATATATCCAATGTTTGAGTTGCATACGGAGCCCAAAACCACCTGTACGTTTTGCAATGTGCTTTATATTTTGTAGCAATCACTGCCTTTCATGTAAACTGGTACCAGGTGCATACAGCGCATGAGAACGTTCAATTCGAATGTGCAATTCCCTGGAATAGCTACAGTATTGATTTGTTTAAACAAGTTTTGACAATAAAAAAAACTCTCTTTGAACCGTTAACACGATCTTTTCTGACGGTGTGTTTTTTAATCCAACGTGGCGCGATAGAAATATTTTATTTGCCTTCGTACACGGGTTGATATTGACGGAGCACAGGCGAGTATCACTTTGACGCTGTGGTGGATTGAGCGCAGATGTTTGCGTCGGGGGTAGCTGAGCGAATCGCCGTGTGGTAATGATGCCTCCATATGTGTCAACCGGGATGTTCTGTTCTGGATCGCAAACAACAAAGCACCTAACACTCACACACACACCTAAACACACACCTACACACACACACACCTACACACTCACACACCTACACACACCTAACACTCACACACACCTAACACTCACACACACCTAACACTCACACACACCTAACACACACACACAGACTCCTACACACACCTAACACTCACTCACACACACCTAACACTCACGCACACCTAACACTCACACACACCTAACACTCACACACACCTAACACTCACACACACCTAACACTCACACACAGACTCCTACACACACCTAACACACACACCTAAGACTCACACACACACAGACTCCTACACACACCTAACACTCACACACACCTAACACTCACACACACACAGACTCCTACACACACCTAACACTCACACACACCTAACACTCACACACACCTAACACTCACACACACCTAACACTCACACACACCTACACACTCACACACACCTAACACTCACACACACCTAACACTCACACACACCTAACACTCACACACACACACACACCTAACACTCACACACACCTAACACTCACACACACCTAACACTCACACATAACACTCACACACACCTAACACTCACACACACCTAACACTCACACACCTAACACTCACACACACCTAACACTCACACCTAACACTCACTCACACCTAACACTCACACACACCTAACACTCACACACACCTAACACACACACACACCTAACACTCACTCACACCTAACACTCACACACACCTAACACTCACACACACCTAACACTCACACACACCTCACACACACCTAACACTCACACCTAACACTCACACCCACCTAACACACACACACACCTAACACTCACACACACCTAACACACACACACACCTAACACTCACACACACCTAACACTCACACACACCTAACACTCACACACACCTAACACTCACACACACCTAACACACACACCTAACACTCACACACACCTAACACTCACACACACCTAACACTCACACACACACCTACACACACACACCTAACACTCACACACACCTAACACTCACACACACCTAACACTCACACACACCTAACACACACACACACCTAACACTCACACACACCTAACACTCACTCACACCTAACACTCACACACCTAACACTCACACACACACACACCTAACACACACACACACACACCTAACACTCACACACACCTAACACTCACACACCTAACACTCACACACACACACCTAACACTCACACACACCTAACACTCACACACACACCTAACACCCACACCTAACACACACACTCACACACACCTAACACTCACACACACACCTAACACTCATACACCCCTAACACTCACACACCTAACACTCACACACACTAACACACACCTAACACTCACACACACCTAACACTCACACACACCTAACACTCACACACACCTAACACTCACACACACCTAACACACACACCTAACACACACACACACCTAACACTCACACACACCTAACACTCACTCACACCTAACACTCACACACCTAACACTCACACACACACACACCTAACACACACACACACACACCTAACACTCACACACACCTAACACTCACACACCTAACACTCACACACACACACCTAACACTCACACACACCTAACACTCACACACACACCTAACACACACACCTAACACACACACTCACACACACCTAACACTCACACACACACCTAACACTCATACACCCTAACACTCACACCTAACACTCACACACACCTAACACACACCTAACACTCACACACACCTAACACTCACACACACCTAACACTCACACACACCTAACACTCACACACACCTAACACACACCTAACACTCACACACACCTAACACACACACCTAACACTCACACACACCTAACACTCACACACACCTAACACACACACCTAACACTCACAGACACCTAACACTCACACACACACAGACTCCTACACACACCTAACACTCACACACACCTAACACACACACCTAACACTCACACACACCTAACACTCACACACACGTAACACTCACACACACCTAACACTCACACACACACAGACTCCTACACACACCTAACACTCACACACACCTAACACTCACACACACACACTCCTACACACACCTAACACTCACACACACCTAATACTCACACACACACCTAACACTCACACACACCTAACACACACACCTAACACTCACACACACCTAACACTCACACACACCTAACACTCACACACCACCTAACACTCACAACACACCTAACACTCACACACACCTAGCACTCACACAGGTGACTGATGGATGAGGGTGAGCGGCGCTTTGTAAACTCGCCTTCATCGTCTCCCTCGCCGACTCGCCGAGTGTTTGTGTTGTTGTTGTTGTTGGAAACGTCCCGACGTCAGATTGAAGCTTGGACGGGCGAGCCAAGGGAAGTTCCAGCAGCGGAAGAAACTCGTCACGTTGCAGACACCGAGTGACGCGTACCACGTGACAGAGACGCCAACTCCCACGTGCCCTTGAATGCCCCTTCTCGGTTTAAGCGGCGCCCGTTCTGCACGCACAAAAGTGTGATTTTGATGAAGAACGAACGAAGGTGCAACGAATAAATAGAACCCGGACGACGCCGTGGCAAATCGGAGTTCTGTCTGCTGCCAATTCTCGTCGGCATCTCTCGCGCAACGCGGATCGCACTGCGCGCGTTCCTCGTCCGTGCCGGCCACGCGGTTGATATCGGCAATAATGACGGAACGAGACACGGAGCGAGATAAAATAGCCGCCTCCTATAATTTACGCTTCAACTAAAAAACAAGTATAACCCGTAAAAACAAAGTTTTTCACTATAAATCCTTTATATGCGTGGCGGCTAGAGTCCTCTCGTCCTCTGGCTTGAGATGGCTGCCACCTATGGGTCAGATGATTGCATTGCACCATTAAGCAATTGGTAATTAAATATATTTTGTCCTAAAAACTGTGTGTCAGTGTGTGTGTCAGGCTGTCAGTGTGTGTGTCAGTGTGGCGAGGAGTGGTGGTGCAGCGGTTAGCGCGCTGCACTACGAACCCGGATCCCCGAGTTATATTCCGCTCACGGCCAAAACCAGCGACGATTATCTGAACCGGCACTGCGCCTCCCCGGGTCGACTCAGCCTCAAATGAGTACCTGGTGCGGTGTGTAAACATCGCCACTGGGGAGATAAAGGCGGCCGGGCGTGGTGCTGGCCTCCCACCCCCTCCTCCACCGTTCGGCCTTATAGGTGCTCGCTAACAGCACTTGCCCCAACAGCCTGTGCAGGCTACACGGGTGATCTTTGTCTTTGTGTCTTTGGCGCGCGCCCTCGTTGCCTGCGTCCCCGGAGACACTGCCTCCTCCTCCACGATCGGCGTCGTATTGCGCCTTTTGGCGTCATCTGGTCCAACCCATGTGAGACTAGGCTCTATGGAAAGCTGTCTCGGGTGTGGACCAATCAACTTCAAGGACAGTGCACATTATCAGAGTTATGTTCTTTTGTTTGTATTATGACTGCAGGTATTGTGGTCTATGCAAAAATGACTCCTCGTAAAAAGGTGTCAGTTTTGTTGCCAGATAGAAGGGAAAAAACAATTATCATATTTTTACTGGCAAATGAGGTTCCCATGGAATAAAATAATTGTTTCCCTTCTACGTGAGTTTACCGAAAGAACCAAGAATATGAATCCCTGCAGTCACGAAAGCTTTAAATCGAAATGTAGCTTGACGTAATGTGTTCCTGTCTATTGCGTTTAGTAAACACAACGCACACACGCGTAGGAGGACACCCGTGTCACTGTCATGCTATTGAAGGGACGTTTAATCTCTTAAACGTGAACACGAAAATCACCGACAGCAATAAACAACCAATAACACTGGTCAACAAAATATAGATAAACACATTGGCGATAGGGCAACACTCGGGCGGATAACGCATTGATGACACTGGTCAACACAAAAAAAAAATGCTGGCCTGGACTTTTGCAGCTGTTTTAGACATCTCATTTTGATGCTATCGGCATTCCCCATTTTCATTGATTTTACCCGAAATTAACTCTGTCACTTATGATTGCAAGTTGTTGCGAGTCAGTGACTGCTTTAGTGTTACAATACGGTGCTGTATTTTTAGGATAGTGCGTTTATGACCAGTGTCATAATCAACGGGCCGCTGACGACGTCCCCTCCTCTCTACAGTTCGGGAACCCGCCGTGGGAACGGGGAACTTGCGGCTCTCACGGCCACCAACCTCCCGTCGTCGTCGCGAGGCAGTCGCCAAACGAGACTCATGCTGAGGGGGGCCCCCCGGGGGGCCGAGCCCCCCCTCTGGCCGTCCCCGCTCTCCCGCGCCCTCCGCTTCCGAAGGGACTCGCCAGCCCCACGTCACCTACGCCCCTCGTGACCCGCCGCAGCCTCTCCGTGACCCGGCTCCACCACCCCGAGCCCTCCCTCCCCCCCCCCTCCCTTCTCCCCC